ACTAGGAACGGTAACTGGTCACCAGTTCCAGTTACTAGGAACGGTAACTGGTCACCAGTTCCAGTTACTAGGAACGGTAACTGGTCACCAGTTCCAGTTACTAGGAATGGTAACTGGTCACCAGTTCCAGTTACTAGGAATGGTAACTGGTCACCAGTTCTTTTTACCAGTTACTAGGAACAATGAGAACTGGAACTGTCCCACCCCTACATTCACTGTTGTATTCAGCACTGATGAAGATATAAAAGAAATACAGAAAATTCGAGAAACTTGATTTCTTCTTCAGATTAAACTTCATAGCATACAGACTTTGTTTTGATTTAAAACCAATTTTAGACTGTGAAAACTCGAAAAAACTGGCGAAAGTTGGAAAAGCGTCAGGCGGCCATATTATTTGTAAACTTTGGATCTGACCTTGTACTTTTATTTGAAAATTTTTAATCGAATTTTGTAGGCCATTAAATTCTCTATAAAATGCAAATAGTGAGAATTTCTCGCATCTCTTTACCCCTTCACAAACTTCCTGTCAGTTCGAAAAAGGGATTGGACAAAAACAGGAAGTTTTGGAAAAGACTTTTTCCCACAATGATAAGTTAACTTGAGAAAATAACTAGGTGAATTTGTTCAGTTTCTATCAGGCTTTCGAATGAAATATTGCGCGAACACAACGGATAAAACTGGACTGAGTTATAGCCAAAATTTCAGAGATGGATCATTTTCACAAATTATCGCTGGTCTCACTTTGTAAATTCTATAACTCGGTCAGATCAAGTCCTAGGAGGCGATAAACTTATTCATAACCCCAGTTTTGATTGTAGAATCGAATGAGATCATCAAAACTATATGTCAATTTTGGCCATGTTATGGCGTTCCTCGACGGGTTCAAAAAACCTCTCTTAAGCACATGGGAAGAATATGATAGGGATGCCCAAAGCGATTTAGTAATCGAACACTCATACATGTCATCGAACGAATTAATGAACTATCCAGTATAAAAAGAAAGTTAATTCTTCTTCGATTATGTTTTTGTTTTAACACTTATTGGTTTTTTTTCTTTTTTAAACATATTTGTCGTACTTCTGCTAATCGATCTATACTTCGCGTCGTCTATAAACTGTTAATATAATTGCTCTTTTTTCCTTCCAATAAAATATTTTTCCTTTTCTGTTATGTACATAATATATTTATATACACATATATATATAGTATCTATTCTGTATAAGTACCGTTCCTCTATCAAATACTGAAAATCGCATGGTTCCAGCTCTTTCCGTTAAAAAGTTATTTGAAAAAATGCTGGGGATCATTCTTTTTATGGACGAATAGTAATTGGGAACAAAGCAAACGAATAGGATTGTATCATAGCGCCTCTTCTCACGTGCAATACATTTTAGAACAGAAAAGAAATAGAAGTACTCGCTATTAATAGTGTACATAAAGTTGTTTTTTTTGAAGCGTTTAGTTCCTATGTTACAATTTACGCAACCTTTTAACCAATGTCAAGCTTTTCTTTTTATCTCTTTCATGTTCAAAAACTGCTCACTAATTAAACAAAATATCGGAGAAAAAAATTTCTGAAGGAAAAAGATTGGGATAATAATCTTTTTTGATGGAATTCTAAATGGGAAGCTTTTTTTAAAAAATTCATGAGTAGCAGAAACTCCATCAAAACCAATTCAGTTTTTAGATGTTTATTACAGTTTTTACATATGCCTATTACAGACAAGTACGAACATTTTTTTAAAATATCAGAACTCTATTTCTTTAACTTTTCAAAGATAAAAAAGTTGCTAATGAGGGTGAGTTTTTATTCCGGGTTTAAGAAATAAATTGTGAAATTGAGGTTTAGCGACGACAATCAGCACCTTGTTCGACCGACACCTCTGACTATAAGTCTATTTACTGACTGCCATACTTAACTGATATACACATGCATCACCACTTCACCATCTGAGATCTTGGCGCCATTTTAAACCAGTTGCGGATAGAGATATTCTGTAGCAAACACTTTCTCGAATATATCAGAAAGTGGACATACTGTTTATATCAAATTGAAAAGTAGGCAATTTTGTTAAACTATGTGTCACGATAAACAATAAAATAGTATAGGTATGAGAATATTAAGCGAAATTTTTTATTCAAAATCAGAATATGGTTTTTATAATTGATTTCAATAAACGATTCCATAAAACCATATTTTCGAACACAAATTTAGTCGACCATCGTTGAACGCAAAAATTGATTGCTATCGGAATAACAGTTTTTATTACAGTTGCATAGATGATTTTGTACTGGGATATTGATGACACACGACTTATGAAAATAGAAGCCTTTCTCCCTGATTGATTTGCTAGTTTAAGATCTCTATTGTTCAATATTTATTTTCAATTTTAGATCGTAATAGATACAAGACCCTTACTGTTTGTATCTTGAACAGTATATATCTTCTTGATTGTCGGTTATTATTCTATATTTTTCAATTTTATTTTTGTTTTGTACACGTCTTATGCCATGTCATCGGGGCATGTCGAAGAATCTAATTTTGAAAAACGTTTATCAAATGTAAATAGTACGCAAGACAGTGTTCAAACATTATCTCTATGGATATTGCATCATCGAACAAATCATGAACATATTGTCAAAGTTTGGTTCAAAGTATTAAAAAAAGGTAAACAAGTTTTTGATGCAATAAACTTTTAATTTATTCTCTTCTTGCATTCCATAAATAATTACTTAAAAAAACTAAGTATTTAACAGTGCGTTGTAGATAGATTATCAACAAATTTTTGAAAAAAAATAACTATTTTCTAGACAAAAACAATTGTGTGTAAGATAAACTGTATATGAACTTTTCCTTATTATCTTTTGTTTTAGCAAAAGCATTACATCGTTTAACATTATTTTATGTGGCTAATGATGTTGTACAAAACGCAAAACGAAATAATGCACTCGTTTATCAAGAAGCATTTAAACCATTTCTTAATATGGCCATGGCTTTTGTCAAGTAAGTAGTCGTATTAAGAAGAAAAATACTAATCTGTAATTGACTATTGTTGGTCATTTTTTTTTCTAGAGAAAATGCGATTAAAAAAAAAGTTCAACGAATATTAGAAATATGGCGAGAACGAGGTGTCTATGATGAAGAATTTATTGAAGAATTATTGAAAAAATTATTAGGTTTGCATTTGTGGTTATGTAAAAAAATCTTGTATTTAAATTTTGTGCATTGTAGGCAATGAAGGATATGAAAAAGATAAAGAAGTAGCACGTGTGATATCAGAATTTCAAGTATGTACTTTAAAAATCCTATTAGAAAACTGTTTCATTTCAAAAAACTAACTGAGGAGAAAATGAACCTTAATGCTACTAGTTAGTAAAGCTCTGCTTAAAAACTTGTTTTTCAGCTGTGAACAATTTTCTTGTTAAAAGTTGTATAAATTTTACTAAGGGTCCTAAATTATTGTCTAAAAACTGATGACATCGTATCTTAAAAGTGGCTTTCTTTTGGTGATGAGTACTTTACTATTACAAGGATCTCTTTGTAACGAAATGTTTAAGTGGATGATTTTTTTAAACTAACTCCCTTTGTAACTCTAAAAACCATACTTTGATCCATATTTAGATACAGCCTCGAGAAATTATGTTAGCAATATCTTAAAAAGACCATCATTCCCTAAAAGATTTCATTAATATCCGACCGAGATAGCTTTCTGACATGGAGAGAGGAGGCTGGCTTTAGGTAATTTTTCGAAAGCCTTTTAACTATATATTTTTTGCAGTGATAGATCATTATAGTTTATTGTATTTATTTGAGGTTTTTTCTCTGTCATTTCAGCCAAAATCTTTATGTGAAGCATTGCTTCGTTTTAAAAGCCTGGAATCTGAAACATTACTTAAAGAACAAATTGTAAATATCAATAGTAAATTAATTGATTCAATGTCAGTGGATGCTGTTAGAAAATTAAAAGGTAAATTATTTTTTAAATTTTTTCTCTTTCAGTTGGACTTGTTTATTTTATGTTTTGATTTTAGATAAACCATCGACGGATGCATTTCGAAGTGAATATGAAGATGTACGAGAAAAATTTGAAGACTATTTATCATATTTAGAACGTTTAACAACGGAACGGAAAAAAATTAAACAATATTGTGAGCAAGCAGAAATATTTTACGATGCTCAATATCAAGATGCCAACATTGTAGTCGAAGTTCGTATTTATATTTCATTAACTTTGTTTTATTTTTACGGTTTATATAACTATGTGTACTGTTCGTTAAAACAGTAAAAAAGGATTTTTCTGATTGGAAATATTTCACTCATTTATTATTCAACTAATTACAAGAAAAACTTAAGTCTTATTATAATTGTTCTTGTTGTTTTAGGCATATAAAAACTTCGGTGATAAAGTAGCAGCATTAAAAAAAAAATTAGATTGTTTGATTCGTGATCTACCAGAATCAGCGTCACCACCTATTGCCGCTGATGTTCCATCACCAGGTGAGTAAGACTGATGTACAATGTGATAGAGATCAATGATGTTTTGTCCTGTGTTTCTAAAGAGACAATTTCTATTGAGTCTTGGAGATGTTTATCATTCGAGGAAAAAAAACGTTTTCCTTGAAAAATATTCGTTTTTTTGTTTCTGTTGCGCTCAATTAGAATGAACATAGTTTTTTGTTAAACCAATATAAAATTCATATATAATTGTGAAACTCGACTTGAATCATTGTGTTTAGTTAATTTTACAACCGCTCTGTAGTTACTAGAGACTCAAATAGAATTCATTTCTGAAAGAATCAAACGAAAATATCACGCCCGGTTTCCACCTTTCTCAAGGGACTGAGTCTCTAGTAACTACAAAGCGGTTGTAAAATTAACTAAACACAATATAAAATTGAAAGTTAGAAAACGTTATACAAAAATTGAATTATTTTTTTGATAGAGAATTTTAATTGTTTGTTTTTTTACAAAGGGAATACACCGCCAGATTATCGGCAAACCGATATGGATTTATCCGATAATGAAGATAAATCAGCATTTGATCGTAATGCAGGTAACGCATAGATAAATTTACTTTGATAAGAATTGTTAGACACATTGTTTATTGTGGAAATATTCTTTTAATAAATCAACAATTGTCTAGTTGCAGTCACCAAAACACGAGCTGATCCAAGACATCGACGAAATCAAATACAACACAATCAGAATGCGAATACAAATAACAACACCAATAATAATACAAAAGATGCGGATGAACGATCAAGGAAATATGACTTATCAACAAACACGAATGGAACCAACTCAACGTCCAATAATACGGCAGATATATCAAAAGTAACTAAATTTTAACAGTTTTTGTCAAATGATAAGTTTTGAGTATACAATTTTTAATATGGCGATTGTTCTCAGATTCTCGGATGAGTCGTTTACTTGGAAGAAAGACAATGTCAAATATTTTTGGTCTTTCCTACTATTTTCCCAAGAGTAATATCCCTTCCTTTTAGAACGTTAATTAAAATTTTTTTCACAAGAATATATAGTAGAGTCCTGCGGGTTTAGCCTGATCCCGATTCCGATATAGTCCAGAGTATTCTCTTGCAGAATCTGTGCTGCTATATTTCTTATGTTTGTTCGAATTGTTTGTTACGTTGTTCAAAATTTTTATCCAAGCCGGTTGCAATATGTAAAATTTCTTTTTTGTGAGAGGGAGCCTCCTATGAATAGATATGACATGTTATAAAGAGCTAATGATCTTGGAAGAACAAATGTTTATTTGTAAAGTTTTCTAATTAGTTGACTATTACTGACCGACATCTTTAAAAGTGCTGCTTCTGTTACAAAGTGTTTTTTTAACAATTCAGTTGCTACATAAATTCATTTCATCTTTATAGGATAGCCCAATGATTAATGTTGACTTAATAACCGAATTACTTGTTCAACATAGTCAATCTACTGGTTTTGAAAAAAGTCTTGAAATGTTGACACAAACATTGAAACAATTAACCGATCCAAATTCTTCTTCTGCAAACTCTATTCCCATTACATCGACAATGACCACCTCAGCAGCATCATCTATAATGTCACAAACAGTACCATCGTCATTACTAACATTTGCATCAAATACGTCAACACCTGCTGCAGTAATTCCAACATCGACTACACATCCACTCGAGGATTTACTCTTAAAGCGTCTTCAGATGCCTTCACCACCATTAGCAAATATTCCTCCTTGGTACAATCCTCCTTCACAGCAGCCACCACAATTTAATCCATTATCTTTACAAGCACCATCTCCAACAATTCCCGGTTTTTCATCAAGACTGGTTTCTCCAAATACAAGTCAGGTACCACAGCAACAATTTATTCCACCTTCATTATTTCCTCCTGTACCACCTTCTCTAGTGCAACAATTTTATCCACAGCAGCAGCAACAACAACAACAACAACAACAACAACCGATTTCGCAATATCAAAATTTACAGCAAAGACAATAGATAACTTTTTTTGTTTTATGTTTTGTAAGTACATAGTTTATCTCGATATTTCTTTAATTTTTTCTGAGAACGTTTTTTGTGCGAAAGCACGTGTATGAGTGTATATGACTCGTTATTTCTGTTCGAAATATATGTGTACGAATAAACTTTGATTTTTGTTTGGATTTAATAAATTCGATGATGCTGTTTGTATCATGCAGGCATGTATGTACGTGTACATAATGAAGACATATATTAATGAAAGTTTAAATGAAAAGAACTGTTGAAGAGTATCAGGGAATAAATAATGATTGAATCATCAAATTAAAATCTAAATTTTTAGATACGTTTTATAAGAACGCACAAAATTCTTGAACTAAGCAATCCACTTCCAAAAAAGAACACATCTATCAGAAAGACGTTAAGTTAGAACATCCAAAATCTGAATAAAATTAAGAAAGTAATCGGACAAATCTTAATATAAATAAATTAATGTAAAAGTTATAACAAAAATTGTATGTTCATTTTCCGAAAATTTAAATTCTCTTTTAATAATTTCTAAATTAGATGGGTAGGAAGATGCAATACACATCAAATTAACTGAATTTTGTCATCAATAAGGCAAAAACAATCGACGAATACAATAGAACTATCACAAGACGTGTCTATTCGTAATATTGCACTCATCGTATCTAAAACAAAGTTGAGAACTGACAGGTTTTAGTTGTCTGACATCTTTCTGTAGAAGAGAATTGACATCTTTAATATTAGTATTGAGAAGGATTATAAACTGATGTATATCTAACAGACACGCTTTAGAAAAGAAAATATGATCCATGAAGCGGTACTAAATTTTCAGCGTATCATCGAAGATTACATCCAAATTACAATTTTCCTAATAACTAAGTTAGCGGCTACTTCACAATCGTTTTGTGAAATATCGTTGTCAGCTTTTTGTGTTTTGGCTTAAGTATTCTTAAAATAATGTTCTTAAAGTATTTACTGAATCATTTTATGATCTTTGTTGATTTGCCCGCTTGAGACGTTTCAAGAAAATAATTTTTGTTAAAGTAGTTCAATAATTTCCGCTAGAATGATCGATATTCTTCGTTTATCTGACGAATAAGTAGTGATTGATAGATGGATCTGTATATTATACGACACACAGAATGTATGTTGGAATCGATAAATGTTCATGGAGATCCTCTTGCATCTTTAATCATCGGTCAAATAGAAAAAAATAGAAAAAAATATTCTTTTCAGAAATAATGATAAAATCATAAAATTTGTAGTAAGTAACGAAACTCGACTGTACTCGGTTAACACCTGGCAAAAGAAAAGAATATCACCTGTTTCCAGGTACAATAATAAAAAAGTATTTTTATCTATGCACACATTTCACTCTCATTTTGCAACGTCATAATTTTGAAACTGACTAGTCTATCGTTAGATTTTGGAGATGAAACCAATTGACTTTCTTTTCCTATTAATTCCTTTGATTTCTGGCAAAAATACGGAATTTTTGACAAGAGTCTCATATGAAAATAGAAATGTTTCTGTATACGCGGCTATTACAAATCATGCACGTGACCCAAAAACATGGGTATTTTTCTATGACCCATCGGTAATGTTACCTGTGAATGAAAAATGGTTAGTTTCATATAATAATGAAGTAAGAGTCAATATTAATTTTGGTAATAGTGAATTAGACCATTTAACACGAACAGCCATTGTATCATCGTTACATCCTGATATTAATAAATTTGCTCTATTTTGGACTATAAATCCATTATCAATTGATATTCTAACTGCATATATCACCGATGAATTCAATGATTTACTACCAGGTGTATTTCCATGTTATAAGACGTATGTAAACACAGCGAATTCGCTATTATGTCATTTTGAGTGTGCATCAATGCTCATAGCCACAAAGGTTATTGAAAAACTTTTATGTGGAAAATATACAATTAAATTTTTTTTTCAAATTGATGTTGAATTGGTTGGAAATAGACTATCAAATTTTCAACTGAAAATGTTTGCTAAAAAACATATTGACAATAAAAGATATATTCATCGTAGTCAAATGTCAAAATTTGTTGCAAATTATTTTGTTAATGTACAATCATTAGATGATACAATTAGCGAAAAACAATTACAATTGTTATTTGAACAAGCGATGACTACTACAGAACGTCTTAAATTAGATGTTCAATTATATAATGATATTTGGATGTCAACCGATATTAAACCCAAAACATTTGAAAAAGCTATAAATAATTTATTTTACACAAGTTATAATTCATGTGTATTATTTCATTTACGTAATCAACACGATTCTTATTTATCAATTAATACTACGAGACGAACATTCTGTTTAAAAGATATTCAAACTATATTTGAGAAAAAAGATTTGGAAATTGAATGGAGTAGAAAACAACAATGGATTATAAAAGCATTTTATGTTCATAAACTATTAGATATCTTAGATGTACTACAATTGGCTCTTATCACGAACTTATTTCGTCAAGATGAATCAAATGCAATATCAATTCATACTGTCAATTGTATTAATTGGTCGAAAAAATGTCCTTGTCAATCGGATAGACCAGCACTTGTATTTTATGGAACTGGTATTCAACGTGTACTAATTTGTACTAATAGACTGAATATACATGTTGATGATATAACAATTGAAATAAGAATTAGACCAGATGAATTACCATTACAAGTGACACAGGTATTCGATTTACTTGGAATATTTGTCATTTCCTATTTATCAGATGGAAAAGTTACATTTACGGTTGGAGGTTCTTTGCCAGTAATCAGTCTAGTTCCAATTGAATTAGATAAATGGACACATATTGCTGGTGTCTTTTATTCGACACAAAAACTTGTACAGTTATTTATTAACGGTCAGCTTGCATCTACAGTGACATTGGACAAGCCACCTTTTTTTCGAAATATGTTTAATGGGTATCTGGCTATCGGTAATAATCATAAAACAACTATTTTACAAGGTTTTATCGGAGCATTGTGCGATGTGAGAATATGGAACTGTATTCGATCTCCCAATGAGATATTGTTCAATATGAATGTGTCGTTAATTGGAAATGAAACGTGTTTGACTGGTTATTGGCCCTTGTCGGATGGAAAAGGTCAAATTGTTTATGATTTAACACGTTTTCGGAACATAGGAACACTGGGAATAGATTCTAATCCGGGTTCAGATGACCCAACATGGTCTGTTGTTTTACCACCGTCAGTACTTGCACAACATACTATTAAAACAAATAACTTTACAAGTAATCTATCACTACCGATCATCTTTCAGTGGGGGTTACCCGCAGATGTTCCGGTAACATTTTTCACCCCTTATTTTTCTTTGTTTGATATACAAACATAAGTTTCATTTAGGTCACGGGGGATTATGATGGTGATGGTTTATCAGATTTTGCCATTTGGCGTCCTAGTACTCTAACATGGTATATAACACCAAGTACGAATCCTCTCGTAATTCTAACGAGAACATGGGGACTTCCAGGAGACGTACCCGTAAGTTTCATTTTATGAATACATAATGAGTATATTTTTATGAAAGGACGGCGGATGGTTTCTACAAGAAAATGGCCCTATATATTTTTGAGAAGATAATGACTGGAACTGATCAGGAACCGTTGGTTATTTAGTTTTTAATATGTCTGCATCTTAAAAGTTGATTGTAGACTACCACATCCTGGAATTTTTAATCATTTCTAAGCACTGACCCAGAAGGCCTATTCGATCATATTTATTCATTTTTCTCGGTGAGTTCGATGTTCTGCATTTTTCTGTGTATAAATCATTCTGAGTTCGCTGGTAAAACTACATACATTTTATTATATTGAATACGGGTTTCATATATGGGGAGATCATAGATAATGTTTAACCAATAACTCTATGAAGACATTAGTTTGAAAAGATACGTGGTGTTATAGATCATTTTAAAGCGCGTTTGATTGCGCATTTTATTCATATATAAGATTCTATTAAGTACATCGAACTCATCGAGAAAAATGAATAAATACGATCGAATAGGCTTTCTGGACCAGTGCTTAGAAATGATTAAAAATTCCAGGATGTGGTAGTCTACAATCAATTTTTAAGGTGTAGACATATTAAAAACGAACGGTTCCTGATCAGTTCCAGTCATTATCTTCTCAAAAATATATAGGGCCATTTTCTTGTAGAAACCATCCGCTGTCCTTCCATGGTTAGATTGGTAGGGAGAAGTTTGCTGTGCAACTCTGCATGTATGAAAAAATCTAAATCCAGGCGCATTTAACAAAATGCAATGATTTCCAATTTTCCTGTTTTTTGGAGCTTCTAGAAAGTTTTGCCAGTAACCATAAGAAAACCACTTTGCAGATTCTAAAAACGGACACTTCGAATAATTTTAGCCACAAGCGTACCTCAATAGTCAAGTTGAGAAGAAAAAACTGCCTGTGGGAGGAAGAGAGTATCCTTAAGACATCGTTCATGAGATTTTTCTGCATTTTTTTACCGATTATTAAAGGTTACCGGAGATTTTGATGGGGATAAACGAATAGATTTCACAGTCTGGCGTCCTTCAACTGGATTTTGGTACACAGTTTATAGTGGCAATTCAACCGTTGAATATGTTAGACAATGGGGTTTATCAGGAGATACACCAGTAAGTTTTTAGAAGATCAGACATAATCACATCCTTTGTAAAACATTCTACTTTAGCTACCATACCTACTTTTACTAATAGTCACTGCCTTTCCTTTCCACATCTTGTTACTATGCAAATTATTCCAGATATAGTTCTGTATATCTAAGTAGGATGCCTAATGCTACATTAGTTTTTAATGAATGGCTGCAAAAGTTAGAAAATATAGTTTATCCATTTAGTAGATGGTTAAAAGCTAGAATAAATTACGGAAATTTTTAGAAAAATAATTAATTAAGAAGTTACGATAACTCTACCATATTTTGTGTCAGATATCGGTAATCTTTTTATTCGTTCTTTCTATCCAGCCATTTTAAACATGTATCTTATCATTAGATAGATTACAATATTCTTCTTTTTTATTCTTATTTACTTAGCGGATATGTTTGAGCATTAAAAGCTTTTGAAAGTTTGTCTGTGTGTCTATGTCAGAAATGATAGAATGAAAGGAAGCTTAGCTATATGATATCATTATGTCGAAGTAGGTAAAACGTTTTCTACGTCCTGCTCTTTTCAGACTATTTTATACCAATTCGACCAAAACGGCTTTTAAAATTCTATTTTTTTAACTATTTGATTTTTGTTATTAAAAACTCCTATATTGAGAAATGTATATCGTGTTTTTTTGGTACCTGGTGACTATGATGGTGATGGAAAAGTTGATCATGCTGTTTGGCGTGATGGTATGTGGTACATCAGTCCATCGAGTAATCCATCCATTCAATGGACAAAAAAATGGGGTTTATCTGATGATATCCCGGTTGCTGATGCTGATTTTGATGGTGATGGTCGAGTCGATCTTGCAGTATGGACTCCGTCAAGTGGTATTTGGGCGTGGATTCCGTCAACAAATCCTTCGCTTGTCATGGAACGTCCGTGGGGTGTGTTGGGTGATATTCCAGCTGCATCTGATTTTGATGGCGATCGTCGAACAGATTTTTGCGTTTATCGTCCGATATCAGGAACATGGTTCATGATGCCGTTCTCAGGATCGTCTGTATTAATTACGAGGCGTTGGGGTTTGCCGGGCGATGTTCCCGTAGCAGGAGATTTTGATGGTGATTTGAAGTCAGATTATGCTTTATGGAGACCAAGAAATGGTTCCTATTTATGGAAGGTTATCTTAAGTATTACTCCAGTAACAATATTAAGAAAATATTGGGGATTTAAAGGCGACGTTCCAGTCGGTACGAAAAGTGGGAATTCAATAACATTTTCGAACTAATATTTAGTTTAATTTTTAGTGGGTGATTTTGATGGTGATAAACGAGCTGATTTCACTGTGTGGAGACCGTCTGATGGTTTTTGGTATATATTATTAAGTGGTAGTCCGGGAATTCAAATAAGTAAACAATGGGGCTTTCTCAATGATACAGCAGGTAATTAGACACATCCTGAATGTTTCTATTAGCAATGGATTTATTGTTCTCAGTGGCTGGGGATTGGGATGGTGACGGACTCACTGATTACACAATTTATCGTCTCTTGAACGGTTTTTGGCATATTATGTTGAATAAAAATCCACTAGTACAAATTGTTTTTCAATGGGGTGTACCTATGTATGGTGATATTCCAGTGTAAGTTACCATTCTACATCAATGACCATAATTCAGTTTGTTTTATTATAGTCCTGGTGATTTTGATGGCGATTCAAAATCTGATTTTGCTGTTTGGAGACCATCAACGGGCATCTGGTATATTTTGTTGAGTAGCAATCCCGCTAAAATCATCATGATACAATGGGGTTTGCCTACAGATATTCCAGTGACCGGCGCTGATTTTGATGCTGATGGTAAAACGGATATAGCTGTTTATCGTCCTTCATCTGGATTTTGGTACGCCATACCCTCGAGCAATCCAACATTCAGATATGGACCGCCACTAGGAATAATTCGACCATTGAAACAATTATCCGGAGTATCAGACACATCTACGTCCGTGTCAGCAGCTCTAGCAATGGAACAAAATGCAGAAGAACAGCCAATTCCGACTAAAGCTGAAAATGCAAATAAAGGTTGAGTAGTAAACAATTTACTCGTCTTATGACGCTAAAACGTATAAAATCTTAGTTTTCTAAATCTGTACAGTTAAAAAGTAGAAGTACCCAAAAAACGTCAAACTATACGGCTTGGCTAAATGTGACGGTAATTCAATTTGGAGAAAAAATATTTTCAGCTTAAGTTGATTTTTCACCGTTTTTACCACCATCAAATGGAAGTTTTTAAGGTCAGCGAAGTGCAGTCAAAAGGGCTTGCTTATTGCTAACAGTCTGGATAAAATAACGAATTAATCTTCTCAATGCTCCTACGAATACGAAATTTCAGGAGCTTCATAGTAGGAGATTGAAACACTCCGCTTCGTAGAAAACGACTTTCTTTATAGCATGAGAAATTCTTCAGTGTCAGAAAACTTGATTTATTGAAAATTATTTCTTTTTACTTTGAGTACAACTGATTTTTTCATCTAACAAGAGAACCGCCCCAGGTGCCCAACTTCGATTTCCTTCATTCATACCTCGTTTTATATAGCACATCGAGCTGGTAAAAAGCCTAAAAGGATTTTTGCCCATGACTCTTGAAGTCTCGGTTTTCTGCAAAACCAGTTATTGAGAAATTCTAAAAAATAATCAAAACCTTTCATAATGAGGCATAATTATAGCCCGCACATTTCTGATTAAATTGAGACGTCTCCCAGCTCTACATGTCCTTTCTTTGCAAAGTTACAGAATTTACAAGAAAAACCCTAAATGTTCATTGTCAGCTCAAAGCTGTAGAAATAAGAAATTAATTTAGGACTTTTCTTGTAAATTCTATAACTTTGCAAAGAAAGGACATGTAGAGCTGGGAGACGTCCCAATTTAATCAGAAATGTGCGGGCTATAATTATGCCTCATTATGAAAGGTTTTGATTATTTTTTAGAATTTCTCAATAACTGGTTTTGCAGAAAACCGAGACTTCAAGAGTCATGGGCAAAAATCCTTTTAGGCTTTTTACCAGCTCGATGTGCTATATAAAACGAGGTATAAATGAAGGAAATCGAAGTTGGGCACCTGGGGCGGTTCCCTCGTAAGTGGAGTGGTCTGTTATTTTAAAATACTGCTAAATTAAAATACTGATAAATGTAAAAATTTCTGTCGAATGATCTATGTGTTTGATCAGCGAAGAAAAGTTTTTTTTGGAGTTTCGTATTAATTAGGTTAATCATTAGTTGGCCAAGCCATATAGTTTGTAACGAGTGATACATTGAAATCTGTTTCTCTAATGAACTACTGAGTTTTTCATTTGTTTTTCTTGTATAGATAAACTGATACTTGATGAATCTATCTATATACTCTTTTTTTGAAAATCTCAATAATTTTTATATAATCTATCGTTTTAATACTTTCGTCTTTATTTATTTCTCCACAAATCTTGATGCTGTTAATGTTGCTTTTTGACTTTTAACACGATAAGTAAATTGTGACCATGAACTAAGTTGATTAATAGTATCTGATTTGATTAATTGAAAATAATGTGAATAATCAATTAACATGTTGGCTTCAGCTCTTGCTGATTTCAATTGTTTCATGATTTCACGTAGATAACAAAACTCGACTATTATAGAAACTCACGATATTTGAACGATTTGGACGAGATAGATAGATCCGTAGATCCTGCTTGAATTCTTGATTAATGTATGAAAGAACAAAATCACAAGCAATATTACGACAGATTTTTTTCATAACGCAACGGTGGTCTCTGCTGTTGAAAACCTGAAGATAATTCAACATGTAGTTTAGATTCTTATTTGTCAAAGAGTAACCGATATAGATAGATTTGAAATTTTATTTAAAAAAGCTTGAAGAAGGAGAAAGAAAGAGTAATAAAAAAAAACCGATGTTCTCGCCAAGTATCGAACTTGGGACCTTCTGCGTGTTAAGCAGATGTGATAACCACTACACCACGAGAACACAGTACAGTTAGTTTCATTATTAGATAGCTCTCTGTTTAATACTTTCTATTTACCAAAAAAAAGTACAACGAACGTAACATGATGTTCGGCAGACCCAAAGGGGCGAATAATAATGCGCTTGATAGAACAGAGAAATATTTGGAGCAATCAGGCAAAAATCTGTCAAAAAAATATTATACAATACAAACACTATCTCAAAACAATTCGGAGGGAATCATTTTTCAGCAGAACTAACTCGGGACATTTTTATTTCTCACCAATTAGAGCTGAGATTTTTAGAATCCGTTCTTTCGAGGTAGCTGTTCCTAATTAAGAAAATTCCAATGGATTGCCATAATCTTTTAGAAAAAGTGCATTTTGTGGACATACATGCTGAGTTCTTTTAATTTGGCTCAGCTACCTCGAAAGAACGAATTCTAAAAATCTCAGCTCTAAATAATTGTCTTTTGCTGAGAAATAAAAAATTTGGGGTCAGTTTTGTTAGGAAACGATATCTTTCATTGCTTCAGGCCCATGCAACAACGACTCAATTTTTTATTTTTTATCTGGATTTAGGTACACGTGCATCTAGATGTACGTGGAGCTGAATCTAGATAAACGATCCAATAAATTGGGGCTCACTATGGGAGAGGAATACTTTGAAGATCACCACGCTGATTATTCATCAGTATCAGCTCGTGGTTTTCATTTGATATATAAATATTTAAATTTCGCTCTACGGCGCAATTATCCAAAAGATGCGTTCTTGTTGAGGGTTGAACTTCGAATCTTGTGCACATGCTACGCAGATACCTATCGATTATCTGAACGTTGTCAACCTAGCAATCTGACTATAACTGATTGTAATCGCAACACCTGGGCAAAAATGCACCGTCTTCGTTTTTAGCTGTTAATTAACATGCTTAAGCATTTAACGTGCCTGCATTAGTACTTTGAATAAGATGAAGAGATTATACAACACCTGTCGTTTGTTGATATTTAAATTCTAATATTTTTCGAGTTAATATTGCTTGTTCTTGTGAATTTGTATATTCAATTTTAAGTATATGTGCTTCCAAAATCTTATTTCGTAATTGTTTTCTTTTTGAAAAATTTTGTTTATTTATTTTTCGTTGTTGATAGACAATTGTGCGTGTTTTACAAATACATTGGTCTAAATCTCTTTTTATCAAATCCAAATAGATTATTCGACGATTTTTATCATTCAAACGTTTATACAATATTTGACATAGATAGACACGTCGAACACACATTTTAGCCATCATACATTGAACATGATGGAATTTAGTTGTACGGCAACGTAATTCAGCTAGTTAAAAACAAAACACATCTTTCAAAAGACCCGTCCCCTCCTCTCAGTGGTTACCGAAATCTCCTATTACTAGTGGTACGAGAACAGGGATTTTTCTGGGTTTTTATACCTAAAGGTGTTTGTTCTTGTTTAATTTGTTGTTGAATGATCTTGATATGTTCACCAATTATTGCTAGTTTTTCATTCAGTTTTTGATTATATTTTTGTTATATGTAATAATCATTTTTTAACAAGTCGATATCGACATGTACTTCGTTTGTTTCGCTCGTTTCTTGTATAAAACGTTCGTGTAATTCAGTTAAACGCATTTTTAACGGTCTCAAATTATGCTTAACTATTAGTAAATATTTTTTGGTTATGAACTGCGTTGATGTCAATGATTCGATGTGAACACGTAATTCATGTGCGAAATATTTATATTGAAGATAATCATGTTGATAGAGATCAATGGCATCTTCTGAAAATAATTAGAAACTTAAAATAGATATCATGTCCTGCATAATTCAAAAATTAAATCGTTCTCATGTGGATAGATTTGCATATCTCAGCGTCCAAATGAAGATTGAGTCCAATCTAAGATTAGTATAGATCATTCTATCATTTGACGAAGGAACCTCGCCAAGTGTATCAGCACTTTTTCTCAGACCATACATGAACATATGTAATCGAGGATGCTGATTCCGAACATCATAGGTGTTTTTGCCCAAACGGCTTCAGACATTTGGTTTTCTGGAAAACTAGTTTTTCAGAAACTCTAAAAAGTAACCAAAACCTTTCTTAATGAGGCATGCTTGTAGCCCGCACATTTGTGATTAAATTGAGACATCTCCCAGCTCTACACAACCTTTCTTTATAAAGTTGTCAAGAAAAGCCCTAAATGTTCATTGTCAGCTCAAAGCTTTAGAAATATGAAATTAAGGGCTTTTCTTGTAAATTCTATAACTTTACAAAGAAAGGTTGTGTAGAGCTGGGAGATGTCTCAATTTAATCACAAATGTGGGCGCTACAACTATGCTGCGTTAAGAAAGGTTTTGGCTACCTTTTAAAGTTTTCAAAAAATTGGTTTCCCAGAAAATCGAACCTCTGAAGCCGTTTGGGCAAAAACGACTATGATATTCGGAATCAGCATCCTCTATTATTACATATAGTCATGTATGTTTCGAGGAAAAAGCGCTGATACACTTGAAGAGGTTCCCTCGTGAGTCTGAACTAGTCCGATCCAATTATAATCTTACAGGCGAAACTCGGACGATAATAGCTTCGAAACTTCGTGCTCGAAATGTTGTTCAGCATCATTATGAATAACTTTCTGAGTCCAAAAACTATTGAAATATTGTTTTTACCAGCACGTTACCATACACTAAGGTGAGCTCGAAATATAAATTCGAGCACTTTTAATTTGTTGCCTTTCTACTGGTATATGATAAGTTCGTGTTTACATCTACTTTTCCAGCACAAACTCCGCTTTTACTAAAATTGATAGAAAATCAATGAAAGTAGTCTATACGGGCTTAACGCAGCGGGAATAAAATGACTTATTTTTTACTTGAGGTTGAAAGAGTTGTCATTGGACTTCAAATTGATCATGTAATGTTTGATTTTGTCTAAATTCTAAGAAATTTACTACATAGTGTGAAATTACTGTCAAAACCGATGGTTTTTGACTAAACCGAGAAAAGAAGAACATTTGGTTTAAGCCTGTAATCTTGAACCAGAACGAAATCGAGAATATAAATTCCCATTATATCATTTTGAACTTAAACTTATCAAAACACAAAATCAATCCTTGCACGAAGCTAGGATCGAACACATGAACTTGATCTTTGCAGACGAACTGCAATATTACGATACATTTCCACTGAGCCAGCTAGGATTTAAAACATTTGTAAACTATTACCATTTGATAGAGCTTTTGTAGCATTACACCCTGTCTGTTATCGATTTTTTTATATTCGAAGAAACTGGAAGAGAAAAACTGAAAAATCAGCTTTTTAACTTGAAAAATTATTCACGTTGAAGCTTATCAGTATGCTAATATCTTTTTGTAGTCATTGGATATGATGAAATGTTGACCACGGTTTTGTACAGAATTTAATGGATTTTTTTAAAAAAAGAATTATATCGTGGGCGTGAAAGGTAAAAAAATTATTCAAAAACATGTGGAGAAGCTCATTTATTCTGTGCCTACTATAACTACCTACCCTGCACACACTGACATGAATCATTCATGAGCATACACATATATAAATATAGATGCAGAAAGTTGCGATGAATGACTTCAACTTTAGCTCCAAGTGAACAGTTAAGACAGATACTCTTAGTTATGTGTGAACTGACCTAATTGCTTGATATTCAACACATTCATTCTCATATATTTTTTGTTATCTTCGATTCGTTTAATTATAAATGATATTCTCAAATTCAATATATTCTCCTTTGTTTCCATTCGTTGTGCAAATTTTTGCAATGTTTTCTCTGTATAATGATGCAATAAAACTTTCTACGTAGAAATATCTAAATTTTGTTTCAATTTAATTATTTGATTTTTTAAATGAACTTGTTGATGTGGGTATTGATTCTGATTTTCATCTATTAAACGACCTAAATTGACTTTCAAATTGCCAACTTCTTTTTGTAAACTGGTTATTTCGTCTTTGTATGAAATAATGCGTGTTTCTTCTTGACTTTTTTGATCATTTAATATTTCAACACGTCTATCCAATTGTATAAATGTTTGTGTTTGGTTTGAATAACTTTTTGAAATCGATTCGAAACGATGTTCAATACGGCACCGTTGTGTCTAAAAATGAAAATGAGCAATAACTGTAAAAGTAATGAGTTAGCTTCTTTCGTATTTAAATCAATTCTAAGATTAAAAATGATTTCAGGGTTAAAGCCTGATGTTTTTGCTATATTTCTGAAAAACAAATTGACTTTCATTGAAATGTGATGGAGAAAAGAATCTGTTTTCCATGGTAATAATGTTTCCGAAAATGATCGCTGTAGTGTAATGAATTTCTATCTATTTTCCACTCTTTCAAAAGCCAAAATTTTGCATAAATGTTTCTCTATATCTTATTCAATCTACAAACTAACTCCAGAATAGCCTAAATCGTTCTAGATTTCAGTGGATTTTGCAGAAACTCTTGGCTCTTTACAAGAACTTCATTGCTTTCGTCTAAAAGGCAGTTTAAATCAAAACGACTTACCGTATTTAGCATCATCGCTAAAAGCTGCACTGAATGATGTAATTCTCAAACATTTTCTAATATATGTTTTACTTCATCAAAAAATTTCACTTGAGGTCTACCTTATGCATTTTCTACCAGAAGCCAAAAGTTTTCCCAATGAGATTTTTCTCTTGTGAGAATACTATTTTCAGGCACAGAGATTATTATAAGTCAAAAACAATCATGTTCGATGATTAAAAACTTAATATTCGGCTGCTGAGTGAAAAATGCACATTGGCGATAGGAGCTCTATCCTTATCAAGCCTTACTGTGATTTTCATTAGGTCTTCCTTGTTTATGTTATAATTTTGTTTAATTTCTATTCCAGTAATATTCACTTTTGAAAGATCATGTTGTTTCTTTTTAATTTGTGGTTTTAATTCCATTTCTTGTCCTTCTAAATCGTTTATTTCTTTAATTAATTGTGTTCGAATATTTTTATACTTATTATTTCGTTTCTCTATGGTGACTATTGTGTCGATGATGGCAAAACGTTGTTCACTGTATAATGATTCAAGTGACATTCATTGAGAAACTTTAGCATTATCTATTGTATAGCCACCACACAATTCTTTTTGATATGAACGAATAGTTTGAGCATATTTGATATCTAAAAACAAGATTTGATACGTATGGTGGAAAATGTACAAGAAGATCAGATGCTGGACACTTTTTCATTAATATCGAAATGTTATGAACAATTATATTGAAATTCTTTACTAATAAGTATCCAAGGCTACAATCTTAGAGTGAAAATTATTATTGCTTGCTGTAGACTTATGGAGTTTTTAGAACCATTAGCTTCTCAACTTCATTCCTCTAGGAAATGAAATTTCTGAAAAATCCAATATTGTCTCGTCCCTCTAACATATGAACTAGAAAATGAAAAACAAATTTTTTCCATTTCCCAAAAATCTCAGCTCAGTCAGTTATAAAATTTCGATATAGAAACACACGAATAGAAATGTAGGCTGTAAGATGTAGGTTCTAAGATTTATCTTTCGAGTTTTTGAAGAAATACATATTTGAATACTATAAACTTGTCATACCTACTCAGTTTATCGAGTTTTTGTTGTACATCTTTTAATTTAAACATTAAAGAATGATTGATCTGTACCAGTTCTTCTTTATCGAATTGTGTTCGATCCAGTTCTCTCGTTAAATCTCTAAAAACAAATGTTGTCCAATGTTGTCAAATAATGTAGATGTATATAGTTTTTGTGGTGAATTTGTTCATTTAATTGTGATTTATCATTTTTTAAATAGCTAATTTCTTCTCTCAGTTTTTGGACAGTTGTTTTCAACTCATGTTGTTGGCGATACCATAACTGATAAATTTCTTGTTTTGTTTTCAATGTCACTAGACATTGTAGTTCTTCTCTAGTACCCGTGAGTAACTTATGTGTATCCATTTCAGCTATGATGTATTCATCATATTTTCGCCATTTTTCTTGAATGGTATCTTCTAAATTTGAACGTTTCTTAGCGGCTAATTCATGATTATGACTCGAAGTGGTTATTATTCTAATATGTTCATCAATTTCATGACATAAGTTATTTATTTCATCATCGTATTCCATACAACGAATAGCTGAACGAAGTGCACTTTCATATAACAAGTTATACGAATCTAAATAAAAACAAATGTACTTATTTCGTATTAAGATTCGTAGACTAGAAATCTAATGGATAACACAGACTAAATAATCCTCTTCATATT